TGGGCTGGGGGGGCCAAATAAAAGCGATGGCGATTGGGCTGTCGCGTTTGGCGCTTGGTCCGGTCGCGTCGGACACCCTGTGGGACACAGAAGGCAGTGGAGCCCCGGCGGCGACGGCGGCGGCAGCGGCGCGCGAGAGCGACGCGCGGGAACGACGCGAGCCGGCGCGCGGGAAGAAGGTAACGCGCCCCAGCGGGCGGCCCGGCCGGCAGGGCTCCGGGAGTGCTAACCGGGCGGCGGCGGCGGCGCCAAGACTTCCCAGCCGCCGCTGTGCCGGTCCGGGGTATCGCCCGAGCGGGGCTCACAGGGGCGCCGCGTTTGTAGGCGTGCGGGGCTTGGAGGGTGAGGGGAAACCCCCCCGGAAGGAGCTGTGAGCTTCGGGCTGGCCCGCGGGACCCCGCGAGTGGGGGGCAGCGCGGACCCCCAGAGCTGCGGGGGCGGGGGGGCGTGCGGGGGGCTCCTTTCCCGGTGCTTGCCCTGACCGGGGCGCCAGGGCTGGGGTCGGGGCGTTCCGGTGCCCAGTCCAGGGTGGCAGCTCGAGCTTTAAGTCTCCTTTGTGTGGCGCGGCCGCGGCGGGAGCGCCCGGGTGGGACGGGACAGACACAAGTTGGTGGGACCCAGCAGCCGAGCCGGCACTCAGACAAAGGACGGACTGTGTCTCCAGAGGGCTCGGCGCGAGGGAAGGGGCATGACACCCCGGCCCGCCGGCGGGCGGGAGAGGGGCGTGGGGAGGCGCGGGCCGCGGCCAGGGTGGGCAGGGCTCGGCCCCCGCCTGGCGCACGCCCCCGGCCCCGGGCGCGCCGACCCCCGGCTGGGGCTGCGGCGGCTGCGGGACGGCTTTCGCGGTGGGGAACTCGGAGTAGCTTCGCCTCCGTTTTTTCCCCAGAACGCAGCCCGAAACCCCCTTAGCTCCGGCGGTTGCGGGCTGCCCTCGCCGCCTGGTCTGGCTTTATGCTAAGTTTGAGGGAAGAGTCGAGCTGCTCTGCTGTCTCTTGATTGTGTTTTTGGAATGTTTCCTGTTGAATTGCCACTTCATTGTGTACATCGCCTTCCACTGCCCCCAGAAATCTGTACCACAGGGTTACTTTTTGAAAGCGGGAGGAATCGAGAAGCATGATCTTTTGGAAAACTCGGTGAACGCTTAATGAGTTCCCACTTTCTAAAGAATCGTAATCCTTAAAAAAAATTACAAGCTGTTTTGGCCAACTTGTGTGATACATCTGAGAATGGCGACAGGTGCTAACGAAATCAACTGCCATTCAGCCAACGATTATTCCCCAAATCCCAATGGGTTGAATGAGTATGAGGAGGTGGAAGTAGGTGATAGAATACCTATGACAAATGTGCATTTGGATTATATGGTTAGCAGTTTCTTATTAATTGTTCTTGTTTTCTGTGAACAATAGCTTTGGTGATTCAGAAAAGACTGGATGCAGAAATGTTTGTTGCCTAAGAAATTTAACGTGTGCTGTCCGCAGTTCAACTTCCTTTGTTTATCACTCAGGTTCTGTAAAATTTAAATTCATTTGGAAATAAAAATGTGTCTTTGCTATTTACTTAAAGGCTTGTTTTTTATGTTTCAAGCAAGTCATTATTTTGTGGCCTTTTAATGTCACATAAAATAACATTTGATAAACCTTTGAAAAACACGAATGTTGTCGTAGTTGAATGTAGCCTATAATTCTAGAGGTTTTGGAGTTTATTTTCTATTAACTCTTCATAAGCATTAGCAACTAATTCATATTTAGGAATATGGATCAAGTGTGTAATCCTAACTTGTTGATTTGTAATTTTATTTGCAATAAAACAAAAGTATTTAAGATGTATTTTAGTTTCCTATTTATGGTCTCTAAAGTTAGGAATAGTTAGGATTCTAGTCATAGATATAAAGCATCTTGTTTTCTCTTTTTGGAGGTGTGCTGGATTATGTAATATTTGAGGTTTCCCGGAAACAGGGAAATAGCATCTTAAATTCTCATTTTTGTGGAAGGTGAATATATTCCAAGAAAAGAAGTTAGAAAAACATAGGCGTTCTTTTGGTTCCACCGTCCTATCTGATAAAGATCTAATGTACATCTACTTACTTATGGTTTCATAAAAATGGAGGCAAATGCAGTAGAAATTTATTACATATATTTTGGAGAGTGTTGACACCCCTATACAGGCATTCTAGGTGCTCGTCTAAGTGTTGAGACATAACCAAAAAGTAATGTTTATGTTAGCTACTAATAATTCTGTGTTTAAAAAATCCTAACACTCCTGTCCCTTATGAGATGAGCTAGTTATGAAGATTTTTGGCAGAGATTCAGATATTTTAGGATAATTTTTTTTTTCTTTTTTGAGACAGAGCCTTGCTCTGTTGTCCAGGCTGGAGTGCAGTGACCCGATCTGTGTTCACTGCAGTCTCTGCCTTCTGGGTTTAAGATGTTTGCCTGCCAGCCTCTGGAGTAGCTGGGACTACAGGCATGTGCCACCATGCCCAGCTGATTTTTATATTTTTAGCAGAGAGGGAGTTTCGCCATGTTGGCCAGGCTGGTCTCAAACTCCTGACCTCAAGTGATGTGCCTGCCTCAGACTCCCAGAGTGCTGGGATTCCAGACGGGAGCTACCACGTGTGGTCTAGGATAAAAATTTCTAACTTTTGCCCTTGCATATTCTGTATTTGATAATTACTATTCTTTGTACTTGCCTTGAGATATTTTGAAAAACATCTCTTTGGGTAATTGATTTAAAAATTCATTTTAAATTATTTTCTGGTACAACTTGAGAATGTATTTAGTCAGTTTAAGTAGCAGTGATTTAAAAAAAAAAACACACTGTTAGTCTAGTGTAGTTAGAAAAAGTTCTGATACTTTGTTACCTAGCTTTACCTTGCACATATACATATAAGTGAATATCTTTATGTTAGCATTTAAAAATTTTAGGCAAATTTCTTCAAGTCATACTGGAATTTTCCCAGGATATCTTTCTTCATTTGAGGTAGCATGCTTAAGGAGTGTGAATTTATTTCAGTATTACCATTTACATGAACAATGATTGAGAAAATTGATCTCTTTAGAAACCAGCAAGAAGAAATCCTCCAATATAATATATTCTGCAATTAATTAGAAATTATTTATGGATTAGCCTTGAAGTCTTTATGTCAGTATAAATGACAAATTTTCTGTAATCCTGATAGATTCTATATGGGTAGGTGAAACCTTTTAGGTAGAGCATAAGTGAAGAGCAGAAATTCATTAAATTCAGAGAAAGGTTCATGGTCAGATGATACTTTACCCTCTGGAGGTCTTCCCTGAATTCCCACTCTTGTGTTCCCACAGGGCTTGGATCATATTTTATTGTAGCATGACTCAATTATATTGTAATCACTTGTTTATGCATCCCTCTCTTCCCTACAGTCAAAGTGCCTCCCTGAGGCTCTTTCTTTTTTTTTTTTTTTTTTAGTATACCTAGCACCTACATTGGTAGTCGCTAGAGAATAGAGGTTTTAAATATGGTTAAATGAATTAAGGAAATATGAAAAATGTAGGGAAATAATTTGACAAAGGAATTTGCAAAGTGAACAGGATGTATTTATATTCATGTGAGCAGCTTTGAAAGGTGTTTTTCTCCCACTTTAAGAGGGAATGATTACAGAGAAAACTAGTTGTCAAGGTGAACAAGTTCCAAGTTTTTCCTAGTTATTTACTTCTGAAAACTAGGTATCTTTTAGGTGCAACTATTACACTCAGGCAACTGGAAAGAACTTTATGAATCATCTGGATACTTAGTATCTACTTAATTTGATTAAATGTTGATATTGATGATCCCTTTACAAAAATAAAAGGAAGGGAAAGGGTGAGAGGGTAGTAGATCTTTTAATTGAAAAGTCATTTTGTTATAATTCATGAGTTCTTTATTGGAGTAAATTGAGGTAGGTTTTGGGGCTAAAACGGAAGGATGTAGTGACCATGTAATTGGATTGTTTATTGGGATGCTCCCCATCATTCTTTTAAATGATTTAAATATGGATTAGCAAATTCAATGATACCTCAACAGTTATAGCTGGTAAATTTCTAAGATGGCTGTACCATTCCATATCTTGCCACTGTTCCACTACTTGGTATAAAAGTAGGACAAATGTGTATATAGATTTTATGGTTAACAGTTTCTTATTAGTTGGTCTTGTTTTCTGCTAACAATAGCAAGGCAGAACAAGATCATAGCTCACTGCAGCCTTGAACTCTTGGGCTCAGGGGATCCTCCTGCCTCAGCCTCCTGAATAACTGGTACTAACAGTGCACAACATCGTGCTGGCTAATTTTATTTTTTGTGGAGATGGGATCCTGCTTCGCTGCCCAGGTTGGTCTCAGACTCTTGGCCCCAAGCAATCCTCCCGTCTTGGCCTCCCAGAGTGCGGGGTTACAGGCTGAGCCACTGTGACTGACCCAGATACTTATTTTATTTGAGATGGAGTCTTGCAAGTAATTCCTGTGCCTCAACCTCCTGAGTATCTGGGACTACAAGCGTTGCGCCACCATCCTCTGCTAATTTTTTTTTTTTTTTTTTTTAGACGGATCTCACTCACACCTAGTCTGGAGTGCAGTGGTGCCATCTTGGCTCACTGCAATCTCTGCCTCCTGGGTTCAAACGATTCTCCTGCCTCAGTGTCCCGAGTAACTGGGATTACAGGTGTTGCACCACCATGCCTAGCTAATTTTTATATTTTTAGTAGAGATAGGATTTCAACATGTTGGCCAGGTTGGTCTCAAACTCCTTACCTCAGGCGATCTACCTGTCCTGGCCTCCAAAAAGTGCTAGCATTACAGGCGTTAGTTACTGCCTGGCCTTAGCTAATTTGTATTAGTAGAAACTGGGTTTCACCATATTGGCCAGGCTAGTCTTGAACTCCTGACCTCAGGTGATTCACCTGCCTTGGCCTCCCAAAGTGCTGGGGTTACAGGCATGAGCCTCTGTGTGTCTGGCCTGGATACTTTTTAAACATTTTTGTTTTTTTGGGGGGAGAAATGTGTGCCTTTATTAGTGGAGCCACTACTTGAGGGTGATGAAGCGGGAGGAGTGGGTGGCCCCAATGCCCGGCCGGCCGTGCTTCACAGGCTTGTAGGTGATGGGGAACTCGCCCAGGTAGTGGCCGATCATCTCCGGCTTGATCTCCACTTGGTTGAAGGTCTTGCTGTTGTAGACGCCCACCGTGCTGCCCACCATCTTGGACAGAATGATCTTGTCCTGCTGGTATGTCTTCACCACTTCCGGCTTCTCCATGGGCGGTGCCTCCTTGGCCTTAGGCAGGGGCCTCGGCAGCTAGTGCTGCTTCCGCCAGAGGCCTGGCTTCAGCCGCCGCAGGCCCAGCTTCAGCGGCGTCCGTTGGCGCGCACTGTATAGCTACATCAGCTGCTTGTGGGACATGTCCAGCAGCTGGTCCAGGTCCACGCTGAGGTAGGTGAACTTGCGGAAGGTTGGCTGCTTCTTCTCAACCTCTTCCATCTTGCTGGATCCTTAGGAAAGACCATTTTTGGTCCCCGCCTGCGCAGTTATCCAACATTTTTAAATTAAAAAAATTTTTTTCTGACCGGGTTCTGGCTGTCTCCCAGGCTGGAGTGCAGTTGCATGATCTCAGCTCACTGAAACCTCTGCATCCTGGGGTCAAGCGATCCTCCTGCCTCAGCCTTCCAAGTAGCTGGGACTACAGGTGCATGCTTTCACACCTGGGTAATTTTTTTTTTTTTTTTTTTTTTTTGAGACAGTCTCGTTCTGTCGCCAGGCGCCAGGCTGGAGTGCAGTGGCGCGATCTCCGCTCACTGCAAACTCCGCCTCCCGAGTTCAAGCAATTCTCTTGCCTCAGCCTCCCAAGCAGCTGGGACTACATACGCGCGCCACCACGCCTAGCTAATTTTTTATATTTTAGTAGAGACGGGGTTTCACCTTGTTTGACCAGGATGGTCTTGATCTCTTGACCTCGTGATCCACCCGCCTCGGCCTCCCAAAGTGCTGGGATTACAGGAGTGAGCCACCGTGCCCGGCCCAATTTTTGTATTTTTTATAGAGACAGTGTTTTGCCACATTGCTGAGGCTGGTCTCAAACTCCTGAACTAAAGCGATCCGCCGACTTCAGCCTCCCAAAGTGCTGGAATCACAGGTGTGACCCACCGTACCCAGCTTTCGTTTTTAATTTCTGTAAAAACCACCCCGTGGGCCGGGCGCGGTGGCTCACGCCTGTAATCCCAGCACTTTGGGAGGCCGAGACGGGTGAATCACGAGGTCAACAGATCGAGACCATCCTGGTCAAACAAGGTGAAACCCCGTCTCTACTAAAAATACAAAAATTAGTGGGGCATGGTGGCACGTGCCTGTAATCCCAGCTACTCGGGAGGCTGAGGCAGGAGAATTGCTTGAATCCAGGAGGCGGAGGTTGCAGTGAGCCGAGATCGCGCCATTGCACTCCAGCCTGGGTAACAAGAGCGAAACTCCATCTCAAAAAAAAAAACCACCCCGTGTCTATCAATAGGTGAATTAACAGAATGTGGTATATATACCAATGAAAACATAGAGGGAGTGAAAGAAGGACATGAAAGGAGTGAAATTCTGATATTTCAGCATTTGAAAAGGAAATTTCAAAATAAAAATAAAATAAGAATTTCAAAATATTTTAGACATAAAAAGAAATTCTCATACATGGATGGACCTGGAGAGTGTTATGCTGAGTGAAGTAAGCCAGACACAACCTTTTGTACAAAAGTACAATATTGTATGATTTCATTTGTATGAGGTAGCTTGAATAGGCAACTCTATGGAGACAGAAAATATAACAGAGGTTACCAGAGCTATGAGGGGAAAGGTGAATGGGGAATTACTATTTAATGATACAGAATTATTGTTTAAAGTGGTGAAAAATTCTGGAGATGGATAATAGTGATGGTTGAACAATATTTTGAATATACTTAATGCCATAGAATTGTACACTTAAAAAATGGCAAATTTTACATTATACATAAATATATCTTACCGGAATACAGAATTTAATAACATACCCTGAAAACCTTTGCAGATAAGGAAACTGTCTACAGGGGAGGGGTTTGAATTTGCCCAGGATTATCCAGCGGGGAATTTGTAGTCAGGATCTAAACTTAGTTCTGTTTGACCCCATATTATCTACTCCGTTGTCTGTTCTGTGTTATCCGCTGGCTTTCTGGTTCATTAAAGATACCTCAGCTCCAAATGGGTTTATTTGAATCATTCAGAAAGTTACATTTAAAAGTTGGTAATTGGCTGGGCGCAGTGGCTCTTGCCTGTAATCCCAGCAGTTTGGGAGGCCGAGGTAGGTAGATCACCTGAGGTCGGAAGTTTTGAGACCAGCCTGATCAACATGGAGAAACCCCGTCACCACTAAAAGTACAAAATTAGTCGGGCGTGGTGGCACATGCCTCCCCAGCTACTGGGGAGGTTGAGGCAGGAGAATGGCTTGAACCTGGGAGGTGGAGGTTGCAGTGAGCTGAGATCGTGCCACTGCACTCCAGCCTGGGCAATAAGAGTGACACTCGTCTCAAAAAAAAGTCATTGTAGTTTGATGGAAGGTTCAGTGTGAAACCCTAGACAGAGGAAAGGCTGTCTTTGAGGATTTCTTTCTTAACCACAATGACAATAGTATGCATTTGAGAGGGGAGGAGAGTAGAGTTCTAAGGGTTGTGGTCTTTGGAAACAGTTTGTTGGGTTCCAATCCCTGAGCTACCAATTTGTGCCTGGGGTGTTACCCTCTTGAAAGCTGAGCATCCGTATCTATAAAATGTCAAGGATAATGATAATATCTGATAAGGTGGTTGTGAGGATTAAAGGAATTGGTACGTGTGAAATCCTTAGAACTGTACCTGGCACAAAGTGTTTGATAAATGATTTTTAGTTATTGCTGTTGTACCAATATTATTTTAAAGAGTTGATATACTTTCTCATGAATGCAACCAAAAACATTTCTCAAGTTAAAATTATATGCTTAGGACTGGTAGTTAGGAAAATGGTACCACACATGTTTTATCTATTTCAATTTAGAAATGTCTGTTGATTTAATAAGTAATACATGTTCAATTTAAGTTATGGAAACAATTTAGACATTTATAAAATGAAGGTGTTATTGATCCCCATTATCTCATTCCCTACCTATAACAGTTTGGTGTATATTCTTCCCCAAATTTCCAAATGTATTCATATATGAATATGTATTTTTACATTTATTTTATAAAAATGTGACCAAGTTATTTGGTTATAACATAGCTTTTTTTATTTTAGGTCAATACAAAGAGATCTATTTTATTCAAAAATAGTGTTCCTTTAGGGCTCACTATGCTTGATACTATTATAAGTCATTATTTTATATAGTTACTGTAATATCAAGAGATGAAGAGATTAGGTAACAAGTAGTTAGTGATAGAGGAAGGATTTTAATTTGGGCACGTTAGCTTCAAAGTCCTGATCTCTCAGCCAGGGATCATTTTTTGTAAGGCCCACAAGCTAAGGTTAACATTTTAAAAAGGGTTGTAAAACAACACCAACCCACTCCCTTGAAGAATATATAAGGGAGACTAGATGTTGCCTGAGAAGGCTACGATAATTAGCATGTGGCCCTTTTCAGAGAAGGTTTGCTGCCCCCTGCTCTAAGCCATCCAGCTGTGCCTCTTTTGTAAGTGGGATGCATAGTATTCCAGTTTATGAATGTGCATTACACAACAAACCAATCCATTGTGATTGACACTTTCTCTACTGAAAAGAAGTGAACATCCTTCTGTATCTGAACATTTGTGTGACAATTTTCTAGAGTTGGCTGCTTCAAGATTATGAACATCAAAAAAAAAGATTATGAACATTTCTAGTTTTAATAGGTATTGTCAAGTTATATTTTTAGTTAAAACAACAACTGTATTGAAGTATAATTTACATACAGTATAAAGCATACATTTGAAGGGTATGATTCGAGGAGTTTTGACAAATGTATGCACCTGCACCACTGCCTTGATCAAGATCTATGACAGTTGCCATCATCTCAGAGTCTTTTCATGCTCCTTGACAGTCATTCTCTCAACTTTTTTTTTTTTTTTGAGACAGGCTGTTTGTCTCACTTTGTTGCCCAGGCTGGAGTGCAGTGGTGAGATATCGGCTCACTGCAACCTTGACCTCCTTAATCGAACCTGTCACCTCAGCCTCTCTAAGTAGCTAGGACCACAGGCATGTACCACCATGCCCCGCTAACTTACTAATATTTTTTGTAGAGATGGGATCTTCCCGTGTTGCCCAGGCTGGTCTCCAACTCCTGGGCTCAAGCGATTCTTCTGCTCTGGCCTAAAATGTTGGGATTGTAGGTGTGAGCCATGGCACCCCGCTTATAGTATTCCACTGTAGGAATATACTACAGTTTTTAAATTCATGTACCTAGGGATGGACACATAGGACTGTTTTCAGTTATTGATAAAACTGCTATGACTATTTCTATGTCTTTCCTGGACATGTTTTAGTGGTAAATATTGATTTTACATGTAAGAAACTTTTAAACTCTTTTCCAAAGTAGTTGTGCCATTTTACATTGAGAGTTAAACAGTTGTAACTGTGCAGGAGTTACAGTTTCTCCACATTTTCATTGACACTTTATGTTGCCAGTCTTAAATTTTGGCCATTAAATGAGTATTAACTATCTCATTGTGGGTTTGTGTTTCTCAGATGATCAATGATATTGGAACATCTTTTCATATGCTTATTGGTCATGTGTATACTTTTTTTTTGTTCAAGCCTTTTGTTCATTTAAAATATTGGATTGTTTGGTTGAGTGGTAAGAGGTCTTTATATGCTCTGGGTACATATTCACATTATCTCTCAGATTGTATTGCAAATATTTTATCCTTAATTTTTGTTTGATTTTATGTATTTTTAACATAATGATCAAGTTAAAACTTTAATATGGGAAGCATAATCAGATAAATTACGTGAAAACATTTTTCTTAATTCAAGTCAGTTAGTGTAACAGAATATTATGCGTTTGCAGAAACACATAAACTAAAAGGATATTATTCATATACTGTTAGGTGTGGCATGAGAAATTTTTTTTTTAATTAAGCTGAATATTTTTGAAAATGATCCACATTTAGTAATTCTCTTCATTTTGCATAATTCAAACCTTTTCATTTATTAGTGAGTTAAACCTTAAATTTTTTCTTCAAAGGATAAATGAGAATATTAACTGTAAAAAGTAACCTCAGTCTTAGAATATGGCATGTAGAAATGATGACTGCCAAACAGCCCATTTTGACAATCGAGTAAATGTTTTTATTATAGAAATGGATGGCCTTTCAGAGCATGTATACTTGATTTCTATACACTATTTTATTTTTGTAAAGTACCAGTTCCTTCTTCTGCTCAACACCTAATTTGCCCCAACAATAAATTTTTAGTTTTTTTTCAATATACAAGTAATACATAACGTTTCCTTTTCCCTGTTTAACAAAGAAAAACTATGTAAAGCAAGCCGTGACTTCCATTGGGTGGTGTTTACCGCCTCTGTAGGTGGTCGTGGCATTGCCCACTTCAATCTTCTCATGCCTGTGGATTCAAGTTTGAGAAACTCCTAAAGGTAGCATTCCAAGTAGTCCATAGAACAGCCCAAACTCTCTGAATTAGTATTATCTCTGGTAGTTTTCTTTCTTTCTTTCAGACGGGGTTTTGCTCTGTCACCAGTGACACAGTCTTGGCTCACTACAACCCCCACCTCCTGGGCTGAAGCAGTCCTCACACCTGTCTCCTGAGTAGCTGGAACCACAGGCACACGCCACTGTGCCCAGCTAATTTTTTGTATTTTTGTAGAGATGGAGTTTCACCATGTTTCCCAGGCTGGTCTCAGATTACTAAGCTCGAGTGATCCTCCCACCTTGGCCTCCCAAAGTACTGGGATTACAGGCCTGAGCCGCTGTGTGCTCTGGTAGTTTTCTTATACCTTTCTCCTGTTGATCTCACTTTGTTTTTTACTACAGGAAATTTCACATGGAGATTCTGTGCCTGTCCTGTTTCTGGAATATCTTCCTTATTTTAGCATCTCAAGATGCTGTTTAGCTTGTGGCTTGAAAAACCACCCCTCTCCCATCCCAATCAAATTAGGCAGTTTCTTTCCTGCTTAGAAAGAAATACCATAACATGTGTATTACTCTTTTGTCTTTTTCTCTCTCCTTTTTCCCTTTTTTATTCGTGAGACGGAGTCTTATTTTGTTGCCAGGCTGGAGTGAGGTGGCTCCATCTCAGCTTACTGCAACCTCCGACTCCCTCGTTCCAGAGATTCTCCTGCTCCAGCCTCTTGAGTAGCTGGGATTACAGGCACGTGCCACCATGCCTGGCTAATTTTTGTACTATGTTAACTGCTGTCATGATATTGATCACTATAAAATTTTAATGTATATCCTTGGTAGACTGTTGATCGAAGTCAGAAAGCTTGAGAAACTGAGGCAGAAAAACCAAAAAACATGAAATGATGATTCTGCAAATTGATCTTACAATGATGTTTCTTTTTTTTTTTTTTAAATGGTACACAGGATTTCACTCTCTTGCCCAGAGTGGAGTGGAGTGGCGTGATCATAGCTTACTGTATTCTCAAACTCTTGGGTTCAAGGGATCTTCCCTGTCTCAGTCTCCCAAGTAGCTGGGACTATAGACATGAGACATGATGTGGGGCTAATTTTTTTATTTCTTATTTTTTGTAGAGATGGGGTCTTGTATGTTGCTCAGGGTGGCCTGCCACTCTGTTCCAGAGCTGTGGGATTATAGGCTTGAATCAGATCCCAGTGATCTTTATCTCTCAGCTGCATTCATATGGGCTAAATTCGTAGTATATATCAAGATGTCTCCAGGAAGTTAAAAAAAAAAGGTATCAGATAATAGGGCATGACTGCTTTATTTATTTTAGTGCCTTAGTTTTTGATACTAAAGACTACAGAAGTGCTTTAAGCAAATGACAAAAATCTAAGACAACTAGAGAGTTAATTGTTTTTAAACAGTGAAAGAATTTCAGTCATAATTAAAGGAGCTTTTCTATTTTTTGATGTCATAGCCTATAGTGAAATTTCATATATTCTATTTGTATATATACGAGTACCTCCCTACCAAATGCCTGCACGTAATAGAACTAACTACTATTTGCTGAGAACCTGCCTTGTGCCTAATATACTCATTTTACCTTTTTAAAAAATTGTAAACAGCACAATGTTAAATTTATCACTTTTACCATTTAAAATGTAAAATATATCAGTAGTGTTAAATACATTCACATTGTTGCACAGCAGATATCTAGAACTTTTTCATCTTGCAGAACTGAAATTCTGTACCCATTGAGCATTAATTCCTACTTTTCCTTCACCCAAAATTCTTGGCAACCACCTTTCTACTTTCGGTTTCTGTGATTTTTGACTATTTTAGATACTTACATGCATGGTATTAAACAGTATTTGCCCCTTTGTGATAAGCTTATTTTGCTTAGCATAATGTCATTAAGGTCCATCCTTGTAGCATGTGACACGTTTTTCTTTAAAGGCTGTATACTATTTCATTGTATGTATAGACCACATTTTAAAATCCATCTATCTGTTGGTGGACATTTGGGTTGCTTGGTGATTTGGTGATTCACTATTCACGGTTAGCCAAGAGTAATATGCAGTAAATGCTGGTGTACAAATGTCTCTTTGAGATCTTACTTTGAATTCTTTTGGATATACAGTTGCCCATTAAACAACACAGGTTTGAACTATGTGGATCCATCTGTAAGTGGAGTTTTTCAACCAACCACAGATAGAAAATATACTATTTGGCTGGGCGCGGTGGCTGATGCCTGTAATTTCAGCACTTGGGAGGCTGGGGTGGAAGGATCATTTGAGGCCAGGAGTTGGAGGACCAGCCTGGACAACATAGTGAGACCTTATCTCTACAAAAAATACAAAAATTAGCTAGGTGTGGTGATGTGTGCCTGTAGTTTCAGCTACTCGGGAGGCTGAGGCTGGAGGATTGCTTGAACCTGGGAGATCAAGGCCACAGTGAGCTGTTACTCATGCCACTGCAGTCCAGCCAGGGCAACAGAACCAGAACCCATCTTAAAAAAGAGAGAGAAAATACACTATTTGTGGAGTGTGAAACTTGTGTATAGGGTGGGTGGATTTTTTTGTATATTTGGGTTCCACAGGTCAGATTTTGGGGTTTGAGTGTATGCAGAAGTGTGATTGCTGGGTCATATGGTATGCTGTTTTTAATTTTTTGAGTAACCTCAGTATTGTTTTCCATAATGGCAGTGAAAGTTTTATAGCCCCACCCACAGTACCCAAGGGTTTCAGTGTCTCTGCATTCTTGCCAACACTTGTTATTTTCTCTGCGTCTTTGCCAAAACTTGGTTTTTTGGTAGTGGACAACATAATGGGTGTGAGGTGCCATCTAATTGTGATTTTGGTTTGCATTAGCAATGTTGAGTATTCTCCATGTTTATTGGCCCCAAATATTTTACTTTTGAATCTTTTGAAAATTGTGCTTTTTAATGATGTAAAAGTCAATACTATGCATCATTTTTTACATGGGAAAAGTAAAATTTGTCCTTATGAATATTACAAAAGATTCTAATAAGGTGAACTTTTTTTTCTTTTGAGACAGGGTCTCACTCTGTTACCCAGGCTGGAGTGCAGTGGCATAGTCTCAGCTTATTGCAGCCTCTGCCTCCTGGGTTCAAGTGATTCTCCCACCTCAGCCTCCCAAGTAGCTGGTATTACAGGCATGTGCCACCACATCCGGCTAATTTTTGTATTTGTAGTAGAGATGGGGTTTCACCAAGTTGGGCAGGCTGGTAATAAGATGAACTTTGTACTTTTTTTTTTTTTGAGACAGAGTCTCACTCTCATCTAGGCTGGAGTGCAGTGGCACGATGAGGACTGACTGCAGCCTTGACCTTCTGGACTCAAGTGATCCTCCCACCTCAGCCTCCCAAGTAGCTGGGATTACAGGTGTGCACCACCACCCTCAGCTAATTTTTGTATTTTTTGTGGAGATGTGGTTTTGTCATGTTGCTGGGGGTGGTCTAGAAGTCCTAGGTTCAAGTGATCTCCCATCTTGGAGTCCCAAAGTGCTGGGATTACAGGCATGAGCCACTGCATCTGGCTAGAACTTTATACTTTTTAAACAGTATTTTGATCTACCGTTAGATAGGAAGAAACTGTGCTATCCTTATTCATAAAGTTCTGATCTAAAATGTGTTATATTAAAGTCATTTAATAGTGTAAGCAAAATTGGCAAATTATTTGTAATTGGGCTACTTTGAAAATTATTTATGGGTCAGAAAAAGTTGGGAAATACTTTTCTAGAGTAATAGAGGAGGCCCTGTAGATGGCAGAAATGTTGCTTGAACTGGCACAGAGGAAGAAAGTGTTGAGTTGTGCCACTTAACCCCTTAAGTAATTTTGTCTCTGACGTATATTTGCCTGAAATAGAGAGCTCAAGTTATGCTATAAAGATTCTTTTTAAAAAATAGAGACAAGGACTCATTATCTTGCCCATGCTGGTCTCAAACTCCTGGGCTCAAGTGATCCTTTCACCTTGGCATCCCAAAGTGCTGGGATTACAGGCATGAGTCATCATACCAGACCCCGAAGATATTTTTAAGGGCTCCTTCCCACCAATAGTTTGATGTTGTGCAAAGACTGGTAGGCTCTGGGTGAGGCTCTGCCATTACACTGGTTGTATTTCCTTGGGAAGTTGCTTTTGTGGATCTCCTCCTTATTGTAAGACGAATGAGGTGAACAAATAATGCAACAGCTTGTATTTGTTGAGTACCTACCATGTATGTGCCTGAAGAGAGGATATCTTCATTTTGCAGATGAAGTAGTTAGTAAATAACTTGCACGGGTTTCTGCAGCTAGTAGGCCTTTAAAAAATAGGCTTTTATGGCCAAGTGCATTGGCTCATGCCAGTAATCCCAGCACTTTGAGAGGCTGAGGTGGAAAGATTGCTTGAGCCCAGGAGTTCAAGACCAGCCTGGACAACAAAGTGAGTCCCCATTTCTACAAAAAATTAGCCACATATGGTGACGAGGGCCTGCTGTAGTCCCAGCTACATGGGAGGGTGAGGTGAGAGGATCATTTGAGCCCAGAAGGTAGAGGCTGCAGTGAGCCGTGTTTGTACCACTGCACTCCAGCCTGTGTGACAGAGTGAGACTGTGTCTCCAAAAAAATAAAAATAAAAATAAAAATGGGCTTTTGCTGCCTATAGGGTCCTTTTTAGTGCAAATACTGGGATTCTAAACATTTGATTTCTGTTATCCAGGTAAAATTATTTCTCTGGAGAGTTTGATTACCATCACAGGCGATGGTATGATTCTCCCTAGCTGTCATTTAATCCAGTGATTATATGCATCTCTCCCAAGTTATTTATCAGTTAGTTCATGAAACATCTAATGCTGATTATAAGCCTATTATCTCATTTGTGTCTCTGCATTATGGGCACATTCGCACCTAAAAGCTTTTGCTATAATGGACTATTATGTATCTGACTAAACTAGCTTTATAAACAATAAAATCTGAAAATTTGCTCAATTTTTCTTATAGAATTTACTCTTGTAGTTAAATAAAATAATTATTTTTTACTATTTGTCTGGTGGCACTTGTTTTTTCAAACAGCATGTAACTAGCTGTTTGAAAATGTCTTCAAACTTCTTACTGGGTTCCTTAGTCTTACCCGTTAGGGACATTCAAATAAAGGATGAGATATTTTCTTATTCTCTAGAAAGAGACATTTTATACTAATGAAAATACCAACTTTTAAATCTATAGTACCAAAGAAAAAAATCATGTTTTTCTACCCTAGAGTCTATAGATTCTTAATATCAGCCACTCATCCTAGTCCTCTCATTTTCTTCTTTTCCCATGTGGAAGTGTAGACTGATATGGTTTGGCTCTGTGTCCCCACCCAAATTACATGTCAAATTGTAATCCTTAAAGTTGGAGGAGGGGCCTGGTGGGAAGTGATTGAATCATGGAGGCAGACTTTTCCCTTGTTCTCGAGACAGTTCTCAGGCTTCTCATGCTTGTTTAAAAGTGTGAGAAGTGCATTTAAAAATACACCTCTCCCTTCACTCTCTCTCCCTCCTGCACCAGCTATGTATAATGTACTGGCTTCCCCTTTGCTTTCCACCATGATTTTAAGTTTCCTCCCCCAGTTGTGCTTCCTGTACAGCCTGCTGAACTGTGAGCAAATTAAACCTCTTTATAAATTACTGAGCTTCAGCTCTTAATAGCAATCTGAGAAGGGACTAATACAGAAAATTAGTGCCAGAGAAGTGGGGCATTACTATAAAGATACCTGAAAATGTGGATGCAGCTTTTGGACTGAGTAATGGGGAGAGGTTGGAACAGTTTGGAGGGCTCAGAACAAGACAGGAAGATGAGGGAATGTTTGGAAGTTCCTAGAAACTTGTTGCATAGTTTTGACCAAAATGTTGTTAGTGATATGGAAAGAGATGACCAGGCTGATGAGGTCTCAGATGAGGAACTTATTGGGGAACTGGAGTAAAGGTCACTCTTGCTATGCATTAGCAAAGAGACTGGCAGCATTGTGCTCCTGCTCTAGGGATCTGCTGAACTTTGAACTTGCTGTTTAGGGTATCTGCTGGAAGAAATTTCTAAAAGCAGCCAAGTGTTCAAGATGTGGCCTGGCTGCTTCTAAAAGCCTATGCTTATTTGCGTAAACAAATAAATGACTTGAAACTGGAGCTTATATTTAAAAGGGAACCGGAACATAAAAGTTTAGAAAATTTGCAGTCTGCCATATGGCAGAAAAGAAAATCTCATTTTCTGGGGAGAAGAAGCTGGCTGCAGAAATTTACGTAAGTAAAGAGGACTGATACATGGGGTAACATTTTTCCTCTCCTGAATGCCTTGATATTAATCTGGAAATAGAAGGAAGGTAACTAGGAATTACATAACGGTTTTCCCTGTGCTTGGTCATTTCTTTGTATCATTTCCATAGGTCAATGAAGACTCAAAAAACCAGTTTCCCTGGGCTTTTGATAAGTAAAGTTATAGTGATTGACAGATGATACTTTTGGTAAAACAAATTGTCTTCATGTGTTTTGTGCTGCTGTAACAGAATACCCAAGACTGGGTATGTGTGTGTGTGTATGTATGTATGTATGTATGTATGTATTTATTTATTTATTTATTTTTGAGATGGAGTTTCATTCTTTTTCCCCGGGCTGGACTGCAATGGCACAATCTCAGCTCCCTGCAGCCTTCACCTCCCAGGTTCAAGTGATTCTCCTGCTTCAGCCTCCCAAGTAGCTGGTATTAGAGGTGCCCACCACCATGCCAAGCTAATTTTGTATTTTTAGTAGAGACAGGGTTTCACCATGTTGGCTGGGCTGGTCTCGAACTCCTGACCACAGGTTATCTGCCTACCTCCACTTCCCAAAGTGTTGGGATTACAGACGTGAGCCACCGTGCCCAGCCAAGATTGGGTAATTTATAAAGAATTAAAAGTGGTCCAGGCATGGTGGCTCACGCTTATAATCTCAGCACTTTGGGAGGCTGAGTCAGGTGGATCACTTGAGGTCAGGAGTTCGAGACCAGCCTGGCCAACATGGTGAAACCCCATCTCTACCAAAAAATACAAAGATTAGTCGGGTGTGGTAATGTACACTTATAGTCCTAGCTACTTGGGAGGCTGAGGTGGGAGGATCGCTTGAACCTTATATAAAGTCAGTGGAGGTAGCGGTTGCAGTGAGCCAGGATCATGCCACTGCCCTCCAGTCCAGGAACCAGAGTGAGACCCTGTCTCAAAAAAGGGAAAAGAAAAACAAAAAGGGCGCAGAATATCTATCTATCTATTTATTTATTTTTGAGACTGGAGTGCAATGGTATGATCTCGGCTCACCGCAACCTCCGCCTCCTGGGTTCAAGCAATTCTCCTGCCTCAGCCTCCCAAGTAGCTGGTACTACAGGCACGCACCACCATGCCCAGCTAATTTTTGTATTTTTAGTAGAGACGGGGTTTCACCTTGTTGACCAGGATGATCTCGATCTCTTGACCTCGTGATCCACCCACCTCGGCCTCTCAAAGTGCTGGGATTATAGGCGTGAGCCACTGCACCCGGCCAGAAATTTATTTCTCACATTTTTGGGGGCTGGGAAGTTTAAGATCAAGGTGCCTGCATCTCATGAGAGCCTTCTTACTTGGTCCTCATATGGCAGAAGATGGAAGGGCAAGTAGGGAACAACTTCCTCAGTCAAACTCTTGTATAAGGGTATTCACAAGGCAGGAACTGTCATGGTCTAATCACCTCTGAAAGAACCCACCTATTAATACTGTTACGTTGGCGACACCTGAATTTTTGAGGGACACCTTCAGACGATAGTACAAATACGGACAAATCTCATATGTTGTTAAGGAGTTTGAAATTTTGTAGTACCCCAGCAGTGTGTTTATATTTGTGATAAGTTTTAAGTATAGGAAAATCATGGAAAGACTTACTGCTCATAACTGCCCTACCTCCTTTACTTCCATCTTTCCCTAAACTACTACTATTCTTAGCAAGATCGTGACCTTTGGGGCCAACATAAACCAGAGGAGTTTCTGAAGAGTCAGCTTCAGCGAGGGGTTCTGTTGGTAGCCATAGAATAAAGAAGTGGCACTTGCAGACATTGGTACTTCTCGAATGAACTGGCTGTGGCATATACAGAACTCAAATATTGAAATTGCTAGGTGATGGTTATGTGGTTTGGGTTGCCTGGAAATTATGAGAGGTTCTGTAAATCCTTTGGGATTTGTAGTTTGAACCACGTAGTCCATTTTACGATTCTATCTTCTGAATGTAGAAGGAATTGCATCTTATTTGGGGATTAGGATATAAAGTCATTGTACAAGGCAAAATAGCATGTAGGCAAAGTGACCCATCCAGTTTGTGGGAAGATGCCTTACCACAAACCAGTATCTTCCTTTTAGGTTCAAGACCAGC